AAGATCACACCAATTGGTAGAGCAGCACAATTTGGAATTTTATAAGAAAAAAAACTAGTTATTTAGGAAACAAGTTTTTATACCACCTACCAGAAACTTTAAAATAAGAGAAAAACTCAAATAAGTTTTTAAAATCATTAAAAAGATTTTTAATTGGATCAGCATTTTACTCCATTTAAGAATTTTTTTATTTGAAAATCGCTTTAAAACAAAATAGTATATTTCGTACCTAGGGCCGAAAATGAGGTTTTGCCGGCTCGAGATAGTTTTTAGTTCTTAAATCAATCGAGAGCTGCAAAACCATTTCGGTCCGTGGTACGAACGATATTTTTCACCACACTATACCCTATTCACTATTCACCACTATAATAATGCACACTGATAGTCAACACAACTACAACTTTAAGGTTATGTGAAGAAATAATTTAAGGAATCACCAAAAATTAAAATAAATAGTTGCTAGGCAACGGTGACAATAACACAATTCTATTGCAATGCTATGGATTTTGATTGTGTATTTAAAATGCATTCATGTTTTAAGTAAGTAAGCGGACAGCTGATTTTGCGGCCCCGGTCTGTAAAAACCTGCTCGGTCCCCAAATTACGATGACAGCTGGCATGGCCAGCAAAACGTAACTTTCAGCCACCAATTAACGTATGTAATGCTGCCAAAAACATCATAGTGTGGTGAAAAATCTCTTACGATATCTCTTAAATATATGCTTTTTAATTGAGAGACGGAAGAGTTAAGAAACTCAGCTGAAAGCTTGAATTAAAGATATTAAAAATATAAAAATGTAAATTTAATTTGTACATTAAGTGTTAACACATATTTGAGTCACACAGCTAAGTGTTCTTCAATCATTAAAATGCACGTATAATCAGTAGTTGAGCGCCGACGGACGGTGCCTGCTAGCTGACCGTGCCAACCACTGTAGAGACTTCTGGCTCAGACTGTACCGTTGGAGCATATGAAATTTGGAGATTATGAGTCGCTCTGTTTATTTGGTATTTAAACGTTGGAGTTTGTGAAATTTGGACATTGTGAAACGGTGATTATCTGAATGTTAAGGATTTGGAGATTATGAAACACTCTGTTTATTTAATATATTAACGTTGGAGTTTGTGAAATTTGGACATTGTGAAACAATGATTATTTGAATGTTATAGTTTTGGAGCTTATAAAATTTGGACATTATGAAACGCTCTGTTCATTTAATATTTTAAGCGTTGGAGTTTGTGAAATTTGGAGTTTATGAAACGCTCCCCTTTTGACCTATAAATTTAATGAAATTAAATAGACTAACCCTAATGTTTCTAACATTCACACAAGCCGCTGAAAACCCGCCACACCAGCACCAGTGACTCACTCATGCTTGCTCCTCAAAATAATGGATTTTATCTCCCCCCAAACCTTTCACCCTTTTCTATGGCTTTTATGTGGTCGGGAAGAGAATTCCACATTCAAATTTAAGGTATCAAGAACAATGTATAATAAACTGTTGAGTGGTGAATGGGTGTGAATTAAAAATAACAAGTTTTAAGAGTGGGATGCTAAATATTACAGAAATGAAATGAAAGTTATCAGATAAATATTTTGGAGTTTTATATGAAGGAAATGAAGAGGAATTGAGAGGTGGAGGGTGTGAAATTCTTGAAGTTCATTTAACTTCATTAATGGAAGTAAGTCAAAATAAGGTATAACATAATCATATACTTTAATACTTTATAATGAAATGGCAACCATACAAAATAGGTATTTTAAGCCAAGTATGAATGGAGATGAGTGTAGGATGAGTGGTGTGTCTTAGGCCAAATATGAATCTAATCTGATACAGGAATTTTGTGATCGCTCATCTTCCATCAGGTCATTGATTTTTTTACACCAAAACGCATAGTACAGTATTGGAGGAAAAGAATCACAAGGCAGTGTCAGGTACTTTAACCATTTTACAGTTTTTTCAATGTGATTCGGGATAAAATACACAATAAGAAGTTAGTTAGATTCTTAACTACTGCATTTAACTTATACAACACCTCTTCTGAGGTATAACTATACTCACATCACACAAGAAACCACCAGATATTGGCTGCAAAACTCTAAAACCACTCCCACTGCACGAGGAACTTTGGAACTGGCTCTTTAATCGACCAGTGTACGGTACTCAATCAAGGAGTCTTTTGACCTGAGAAGGTAATGGAGAACAGAATAAACTACCGGTACCTAAATAATTATTGTAAAGCAAAAACAATTTTCTATTTTTTTTATTTTGATGCCAATATATTTCTTAAAGAAATTACTAAAAAAGATGGTGTCTACTGTATTTATTTTTACAGTTATCTGATGTGCATCCACTTGACTGAAATAATATATTTCATGCCTAGGGCCGAAAATGAGGTTTTGCCCGCTCGAGATAGTTTTTCCGACTACTTCCTTCACCACTTCCTTCGTCGTGGACCTGTTTCCCTCCCTTCCCATAGCATTTTAGTATCGCAGATAAATTAATCTAACTGTCACGAAGGGTTCCCACACTCCACACCTCTTGCCTTGACTACATCCTTTATTAATTCCTTCGTCGTAGACCTGTTTCCCTCCCTTCCCATAGCATTTTAGTATTGCAGATACATTGATCTAACTGTCACAAAGGGTTCCCACACTCCGGTCTGCTTGCCTGGACTACTTCCTTGACCACTTCCTACGTCGTGGACCTGTTTCCCTCCCTTCTCATAGCATTTCAGAATTGCAGATATATTAATCTAACTGTCACAAAGTGTTCCCACACTCCGGACTGCTCAATTGCAGATACATTCATCTAACTGTCACAAAGGGTTCCCACACTCCGGACTGCTCGGCTTGACTACTTCCATCACCTTTTCCCACGTCGTAGACCTGTTTCTCTCCATTCCCATAGCATTTTAGTATTGCAGATACATTAATCTAACTGTCACAAAGGGTTCCCACACTCCAGACTTCACGCCTTGACTACTTCTTTCATCACTTCCTACGTTAAAGACCTGTTTTCCTCCGTTCTCATAGCATTTTATTATTGCCGATACATTATTCCATCTGTCACAAAGGGTTCCCACACTACGGACTGCTTGCCTTGACTACTTCTTTCAACACTTCCTTCTTTGTGGACCTGTTTCCCTCCATTCCCATAGCTTTTTAGAATTGCAGATACATTAATCCAACTATCACAAAGGGTTCTCACACTCCGGACTGCTCGCCTTGACTACTTCCTTCACCACTTCCTTCGTCGTGGACCTGTTTCCCTCCCTTCCCATGGCATTTTAGAATTGCAAAAATTAGCTGTTGTCATAAATTTAAAAAAATAATAGTGCTGCACCCTGTTAGTAAACCTATTACCTTTTTAATGCTATTGAACATCACAGAATCAAATAATTGTTTAGTTGAACCAGCTGTTAAGATGCTTTAATTCCATTTAAATATGAGTACTCATAAGGTTAGCATGGGAAACTCCAGAGCCACTGGGCGGAGCCCTTTTGACATACTGCACCAAACTTCACACAAACCACCCTTGAATAATGCCATAGATTAAAAATACTCCTCTTGAGGAGTATGTTTAATCTATGATAATGCTTAATAATGTCTGGATGTTTCATTACAATCTGTTGAGCGGTTTTGGAGTCCATAAAGGACAAACAAACAAACAAACATACATTGGATTTTATATATATAGATATTTGTAATGTAAATGTGAATTTTAATACTGAACATAAATTGTATATAACTGCCGACTAATATTGATAAGTTCAATTTATTATTCTTATAGTTGTGAAATTATAATGACATATATTCATAGACGCCAAACTGTTTACTCCATGAATGAAAGAGTTTAGAGTAAAAGTCCTCTCTGTCTTAAGTAGACAACAAAATTGTTGGTCGCAAAACGTAAACAAATAAAAAGAAGAAGAAGGTAGCTTCTAATGTTATTCTTATGGGACAAATTTAAAAATGTATTTTAAGGTTTTATAATTACTACTGAATGGAATCGTCTAGAATTTTAATGGTGTCTTTACACTGGTGTCCTAATTATCTGTGCAAAATTTGAACGCTATAAGTGCAACGGTTCTTGAGTTTTTAGGTGCGAACACAGTCACACACACACTCAAGCGGACAACTAATCTCTGACTCCGCTATACACGATATTACCCAGAATGCCAACCGCATGGTAAAAAGCGTTAAGTACTTTGAGAGAGCTTTGCCTGTCAATTCGTAGGCAGCGCCACCAGCGTTGCTATGCTGAGTCACGCTGAGTGCATAGCAACGCTGGTGGTGCTGCCTACGAATTGACAGGCAAAGCTCTCTCAAAGTACTTAACGCTTTTTACCATGCGGTTGGCATTCTGGGTTATAGTAGTATGTTTTCTGTGTTGCTAGGCAGGCGTGACAATGAAACAATTCTATTCCAATGCTATGGATTCTGATTGTGTATTTAAAAGTAAGCGGGCAGCTGATTTTGCGGCCCTAGGGATGTAAAAACCTGCTCGGTCCCCAAATGACGACGAAAGCTGGCATGGCCAGCAAAACGTAACTTTCAGCCACTAATTAACATATGTAAAACAGCTAAAAACATCATCGTGTGGTGAAAAAATATTTTTATAATTAAAAAAGTTGTATTGTTACTGTAGTCAATCAACAGTCATTCATCAGTTGTGTTCAAAATGTTAACAATAACTGTGTACCTGTGACCTGTGTACACCTTTAATCTATGGTCCTACAACCAGTTTTCTTTGTGTACACCATTTTGCCTAGCTTACTTTGTATTTTTACGTCAAAAATATTGAGTGTGACAAAGTAAAAGAGTGTAAGCAAACTGAAACAACAAACCCAATCCCGAAAAAGCAAAGAAAAAAATGTGTAATGTTAAAATAAAACTTTAAACAGAAACCCCCCAGCTAAAGTTTTAGGCAACCTAATGTAGTGTTTATAGTACAACTGTATTAGGGAAATTAGGTAAAAGAGGATGATTAGTAAGAATAACACGTTTATTAAACAAACAGAATAATAAACATTAGGATAATTGAAAGGCACATAATTAGCACTCTAGTTTTACATGTCAGAAGACTTAAATTTGTAAACGTACAGCACAGCATAAATATTACAGTCTTCAATTAAACAATGAGTGTTAATATTTTTATTGTGACACATCAAATTCACTGAATATCAAGCTAGCATTTACAATCCTAACAGAAATTTCAAAGTTTTAATAAAAAATACAAGACATTACATCATACCTGACAGTAGCCAAACAAACTTGGATTTATAATAAAAATAAATGTTTTCATTTAATTTTCAGTTTGATATAAAGTAGTATAAAATAAGTCTTGTGGTTATTGATGGTTCTGGAAACATTACACAATACTTCAAAAAGGCACATACACATCACATTGTTTTTAGGTACCTTTTTAGGGGGTGTTTTTTGTTATTTAGACTTAAGCAGTGAGCCACAAATACAACTGGAGGGAGGTAGCACTGAATGAGAGAATTGAGACATTGGCTGCCATTGTTACAATGGGTAAAGTACATTGTTGTACTTAGTACATTGGAACTAGAATATGGGATTGTATTAAAGCCATGAGCCAAATGAGTTGGCCGATTACCCTTGTTGGTACTAAAATATTACAATTTTACAGCATGTCTAATTTCTAGCAAAATTGCCGTACCAGTGCTACCTCCAGTTGTATTTCTAGCTTAGTGACATAAAAGATTAAAAACGTTTTCCCTAAGTTTTTTCAAAAGTTGTATATGATAGGCCTAGTAGCATTTTGTTCACTTGAATTAGTTTAATTGCAAAACAGCCAAGTTCTTGATATTTTATTTGGCCCACTCTTTGCTCAATGGTAACTGAACAAAACAAAACTTAGGCTACTTATTTATTCCAAGTTACATTTATAGACTAAACTAATTCAGGGGCTACAAAATGGAATTTTGTTACATTTATAAGTTACAGGAAATGGTCCTAGGTAGGTTATAAAAGTTCTACTGTACCAAAAAGATTAATACCCCCGCCGCAGCAAACCTGCAGACTAAGCGAATTTCCATTTGACTGATTGGATTTACACTGAAATGTCTACTTAAAAATTTAACATTTATTCTTGATTTAAATAGAATTAGTTTAACAAGTACTTAGGTTTGCTGCATCAGGGAGGGTAAAACTGTTTTTTTTTTTTGTAAAATGTGAATAGTTAGTAAGAAATAAAAACATTTTCCAAATTTGATCAAAATATGTTCACAAACAAGCAAACTACAACAGTTTACTTATTCTCCATAAGAATAACATGGGAATTTTAAATTTACAATTTTTAGGAATTTTCTCCGTAACCATTAGGCGCATAATAACGCTTCAATATACTAAATTATTTGTTTTTTTAAGCTCTACAAAATGGTTTGGAAAGAAATTGCTAAATTTTATGTTTTTTGGGTCAAAAATGGGAAAAACCTAGTTTTACCCCATAAAACCCCCCGTAAACCCCCGTTCCCATGGACCGATCATGCTGGATCGCGAACTCGTTCGAATAAACGTAGGTTTACACGTTTGTACCAAATTTCATCAAAATCGGATCATTTTTGCTCGAGTTATCGTGCTAACGGACACATATATATATATATATAAATATATATATATATATATGAATTTGAACGGATGGTGTTTTTGGCCTCTAGGGACCTCAAAATGAAAACAAAAATCGGTCCCGCGTCCAGGTCTTACCATGAGTACTACGGTAATAGCTTATTCCCTATATGGGAAATTCGCTAAAACTAAGATAAATGTAGTTTTACAATCACACTATTTCCAATTATTGGTTTGAATACCATCGTATTAAATCAAACAGGCCTATTCAGGGCATAAAATAACATGTTAACTGGGTGAAACCAGTGCTGAGATTTTGTCGCCCAGTGACTATGGGTGGTGCCGGCATATTTTTTTAATGATTCACATTTTAAATGTATTGGAATTTAAAAAATAACACTATGTAAATATTTTAGAGTATTGAGCTGTGATTTTGGCCCAAGAGGTTGTGAAAGGAGCCTTGGCCTGTTACAACATTCTAGAATACATAATTAAGTGAGATTATATGGACTATTTACAAGCAAATAAAATTGCAAAATTCATTAAAAATACGTAGAAATGTTGTGATTTTCACTTAAATTTATGGAAAAATTTCCAGGTGGGACCTCGGACCCCCCTTTTTGATGGGATGGGGGGGGGGTATTAAGTCCGTCACCACTGTCGTCCAGTGGAAATCCCTTAAAAATAAGCTCTGGACCTATTTGTTATTTTCATTACTGAAGTAAGACTTTTAAATGGCCAGTTAGAGGGACCTCATAATGACAACTGCGGACTAAATCAAATGTGTTGGTCAACATGTCTTTCCTAAACTCAATAAAAAAGTTGACACACAAGGCTTGCCATGTGTCACAGCATTTTAATCTAAATTGAAATGTCACTTTGGCTACTAGTTGCACAAATAAGTTTACAATATAAAATAGGTACTATGAACACCCCCATTTACAATCACGTGTACAGTTATTATTATTATTATACTTAAGTATTATTACAGTTCTGTATAGATGGAAAGGGGAGATTACTACATCCAATAAATAATACTTAGCAGCACTTACATAATCACATTAAAATGCCAATAAAATATTACGATAAAAAATGTGAGCTTAAAAAGAATATTGCCACGTGTATGAATATCACAAATACGACACCAAACATTATCATGCTGGCACTTCTTTCCCTACATGTATTAGTAACACTCATATTTCCCTTGTCTGACTAAAATAAAATGTCAATCAAAAGGTTGTCAATTACTCTTATTCATCTTAAAATTAAAATAGATCAGACTAGACTCATTCTTTGGCACTTTATATTTTAGTAGTAACTATTATTGTAATAAATATTAACAGCCATAAATTGTAATAACACTTATTTGTTTTATGGGATTCACTGATGTAATTTAACACCTAATTAAAACTTGAATAAACTGAGTTTTTACTTACTCAAACAAAATAATTGATATTGTGATAAACAACACAGATTGTGATTGTGACCAAATGAATTGATGAACATAATAGACTTTACCCTCTACTTTTCATTTGGTTTTAAATACCAACTCAAAGTAATTATGTGAACAATGGTTTAATTGCTTTGTTACCTAGAACATCTGATTCAGCAGCCAGCATTATTTATTAGTCAGAAGATTAAACGACTAGAATCAAGTTTCAACATCAAAAACCTCTACACTTTTCTATGGATTAATTTTGGGAAACTAGCTAAGAGTTAAATTAGCACCAATAGATTGTTTGATATACATTAACCCATTGACAACAGATTTTTTTTAATTCATCTATAATATTTTTTAGAAAATGTCCTTTTATGTTTTATAAACGTACATGTATTTCAACAGATTTGTCCATACTTAAAAAAATCTGTGTCCTCCTCTGTACCAATTTAAAAAGAAGCAGAGCAGATGTTGTGTGCAACCGTTTTGAAATTACTAATGCTGTAACTTCCACCCAAGCCGCGGACACTGCTTATTTAAGATAGGTCCTCCACTCCATCTAAGCCATACATTAACAGGCTCAATATGGATTACATATGTAAAGGATTTGAATCCGTGCATGTAGAAAAAACTTGAACACTACACTCGTCAGACTTAGCCAACTGAACTATCATGACACCGTCGGCCAAACGGGTTTAAGCACACGATGACACTAGCGCTTGCAGGCTAGATTCAACATTTAAAAATTAGTTTTTTTAAATTTGATTTAAAAATTATATGTACTAGAGGGCTGGTGGGTTAGCAGTATGACTATCTCGCGGCGAATTGAGGTGATGTGCTAGACCTGAAAGTCGTTGTCAATGGGTTATATTTGGTATTATAGATTATAACACGCTTGGATCAAATATAAACTCACCTGATTTCTAAAATAAAATCAATTCTGAGCATTGTTTAGGCCTACTTTACTACCATTATTAAACCTGTTGCAGTGTTTTCTTCTGTTATACCACAAAAAACTACAATTTGTACATTTGGTTGATCATTGATTGAAAACATGACTATGTCCTTTTCTTGGATGCGAGAAAGGTTTTCTGCATCAAGATTAAGGCGTTTGTTGTCAACAACAATGGGCCCCACAGCATCTTTTACAACAAGGAGTAACTTATCTAAGGACAATTCACCTGTGCCGTGAGGACCGTAGTATTGGTACATTCCAGAAGTTAAAGCTTCCCACACAGGTATAGTGCTTCGATCTTTAGTGTTTTTCATATCTTTGAGCTTGGATTTGATTTTGTAAATAGTACTATCAGTGGTTACTTCACTTAAAATTTCTTTCAATATGTGATTACTTACTTCCCCTCGTACCCCAAGCATGCTATGGAATATTTCAACACTGAATCCATCCCCTGATGCTGCTTTAGCTGCTTTTAGGGATTTCATGTATTCGTCAAGTTTTCTTTTATGCTCGCTTACAACGACATGTTTTACAGAATCTAATATGTCTTCAAAATCCTCAATATCATTGCAACACAAATTACTTGCATCAATAACCTCACTGCAACTTTTCAGAAGGTTTTGAGTTTCTGGATTGAGGTTATCATCATCTAGGCTTTCACATTCATCATTGCAGTCGAAACTGGCGGGGTTGTAATCCAACTTCAAACTCTCATGCAAACTAATAACCGATCCTTCAGCTTCATTGATCAATAATTCCATCTCATCTTCCATATCAATTACTTTGGAGCAAAAAATCTGTTTCAGTTCCTCAGAGGCAGTTTCAAATAATTTGGAGACAAATTGTAAGAATTCATCAATAATTGAACTGAAAAATTTTTTTATCCGGTTCACAACTTCCAAGATTTCATCTTTATGGTTGTTGTACAGTTTTATGAATTTTTCTCCCAGATTTTTCAACAGAACAAAATCAGAAATTTCATGAGTTCTCCAGCACATTACATCATGACCGATAGATTGGCATGTATAAAGAATCTCTTGCAATCTCGGAGAATATGCTTTCACAGCCTCAAACAAAAGCAACTGTAGGGTTCCTGATATTCCCACCGTTGCAAATTTATTGGTTTCCTCAGAAACATTAACTGGTAAACCCTTTGCTTTTCTTTTAGCAACTCGTCTTCTTAAATTTCTTTTCTGAGTCTTGGTCAACTTCTTTTGAGATGATGCTTCCACTACAGCTAGATTCATATTGTTAACAAGCTGTGATGTCGCTTTTGCTGAGGCAATTGCATTGCAAAGAAACAACAACTCACATGATAGGTCAAAAACATCTTTCTTCGAAAGGCTCCCTTTGTTGTACTTATCAGCAAAGTTGAAGAGGTTTTCTACAAAGCCAAAACCGCTGATCACAAGAGAAGATGCTGTTAGTGCGTGTAATCCAAATACACTGAGCTTACCTAAGGATCGACCACTTTCAACTACTTTTTGAGCTCCTCTGAGTGCAGCCATTTGCGACAAGCCAACTGCTGATGATCCAATGGCCATCCAGGCAGATCTGGACTCTTGATCTTTCAGTCCGATGGATTGATCATGTTTATTCCTATCATACAAAGAGCCAACACTCCTAGTTACACTGTACACTCCAGTGCAGAGAGCAGTAGCTCCTGCTGCAGAGAGGGCTACAGGTGCCACAGACACAAATGCTCCTGCAGCAAAAACACCTGCAGCAGCTACGGCTGCCACTGATCCAGCTGTGTCCAAACAGTTTGTAGCTTTGTTGAATAGCTTACTTGCAGGCGAAAAGGCAAAGCCCACAACAAGTTCTTTTTCCATATCATACTCTCCGCCTACTGGGAAGCAGTATTCACATTCAGGTAATTTGTTATTTTCAATAAACATATCCCAGTTCAGGTAAACTCTGGAATTAATATCAATGAATAAGTTCCCAGTGTCAGTTATAATCCTAAAAACTGGCGTTTCACATAGGGAGCCTTTGAGATTGAGGATTAGTATTGTACAAGAAAATTTGATTGGATCACGATCACTCTTTTCTATAATTTTATCGCAGATAGATTTTATGTGCTTCAATTCCTCTTTCTTATACCCCGTGTTGTAATTTGTACTGCTGGGCAATTCTTCTGGTTTCCCACACGTAGCATATCCCACTTTTTTTTTAAGCAGGAAAAGGTCTTTCTTATCAATTTCATCGCAATGTCTTGATCCCAAAGTTTCATAATAAGCAGCCTGCTTTTCAATAGCCAGTTGTTTCCACTCTCCCTCTTCCATGATAAGAGTAACTCCTGAAAAACAATTAATTATAATGAAATTTTCTATCAAAATTGTTTATAAGATAGGTTTTGCCCTATCTTATCCCTATCTTTGACCCTAAGGATTTGTTATGCACTATTTAATTTTATGATTTTAAATGTTGCTATCTAAATCATCCTTGTATAGGATATAAATAATTAATAAATATAGTTGTATTTAGACCACACCACTTGGCAAACACATCCCTACCCTCCATTTACACTTCATGGGTGTACTTGATTTTAAAACACAATCGGTGACACACAGAGTTTTTTTGGGGTCGTTTAAACATTAGAAAAACAATGTTCTTTATATATTTTATTATGATATTCTGTATATTTGCATTACTTTGTTAGATTTTGAGTGTGCCAAGCCTATCTCAAAAATTGAGTTACTTCTTTACAAGACTATAAGATTTGTTTTCATCTAGCATATTTTCAGTTTGCCTGTAATTAGACATCATAAAATAATTGAGATGGGAAATACCATTACTTTGCAGTAATAGTCAGGAACATTCCTTAGCTTTTCGGTAATAGGTGAAATAATACTATTGTTTTTGTTACCTATTACTTCCCTTTCCAGTACATTTCAGCCGGTCGTTCTTTTGCAGGATTATCTTTAGTTATTTTAATTCCTTTTACAAGTCTATTACACCTTGATTATTGTAACTTTCTATTTGCCATGGGACGAAAATAGAATTAAATTATTAAATACAAGACTTGTAATACTGTTTTCAGCATCAAGTAATCTTTTCAACATATGCTTTATCTTTATAAGTTTATTCAAACGATCCAGAGGCCATCATGAAATAAAACAAAACTTCTTTTTTATCTTCATTTTTTTCAAATGAAGATTAAAAATGGATTTTAATAACAAAACTGGTATTTTTTAATTGAAAGAATGTAGGATGACAACAAATCCGGCCTTAGGCTGCTCCTACATTGGAAGTGGAATTTTTTTCAAAATGGGGTGCCGTCTCCCCTCCTACACTAGGGCCTGTTGTGGTGGTGGGAAGGAGATTAAAGTCAACTTCCGGTCTGAAAAAGCCACTTCCGGTGTGATTTTGGATTTGAAATTATCACCATTTGGTAGACTGTACGCCCAATTTATTTAGTTCTGTATTATTTGTTGTTTGTAAGAAAAGGTTTCCCTCATTTTTAAATGGGTGCACGGGTGGTTTTGGACACCCGGTATATATTCCATAAACTAGGTATTCCACATCATATATAGGTTAGAGTTCGCAAACCAGCATGATCGGACCATGGGCACTGGCTTTCATGGGGGGTTTATGGGGTAAAATGGGGTTTTCCAATTTTTCACTCCAAAAATATAAAACTTCCCAATTTATCTCTAAGACCATTTCTCTCTAGACCATTTTGAAGAGTTAATAAAAACAAATAATTTAGTATATTGAAGTGTTTTTGTATTGTTATTGGTAAGGGAGAAAATTCAAAAATTTTGATCAAACTTGGCAAATCTTATTTATTTCATACTAAGCTAGGTAGTCTATCAATTATGTTTTACTAAAAACGCACTTTATTGCCCTCCCTGTAGCAGCAAACCTAGGTACTCATTAAACCTAATGTTATTGAAATAGATTTAACTTAACCTAGCCTAATTGAAAATCAAATCAAGCTAATGGAAAATTGCTTACTTTACAGGTTTGCTGTGACGATTGTAACTTATTTAGAAATTATGCATATTAAGGTGACCATAGGAACCAATAGTAATTTATATGCCTATCAATAGAAACTAGATTTTTAACAGAAAACAATGTTGCAAAAAATTTTTCTGCGGTGACCAAAACTGAATAAACTATGATCGTTTGAATTTTATTACTGTAAAGTAATGCTTATTGTCTGCTTCTCTGTCACCATTATTAGGTTAAGTGAATTGAATACTAACACAAACATGAACGATTAAAAGGATCGTCTAGGAAAGAAGAAGACGGCAAACATTAAGTTTTTACGAAGAGGACAAAGCAGTAACTTAGAGGCATTTGTAAATGCAACTGAGCGTTGATTAAGTTATTGTGAACTCAGTTCTTATTTACACATGCGATGCGAGATAGGTAGGTCGGGTGTTATGTGGATTCGTGACTGTATTAAGTGTTTTGAAGTTAGGTTTAGGCCTATGTGAGATTAAGTTAGGAAGGTAAAGTTTAGGTTATAATGAATCAAGTTGTTGATTTAGGCCTAAATTATAAGTTATGTTATCTCGAGACTGATTTTGGGTTCTATCCATATCAAGTGATCCATAAATAAAATAATTGGTTGCTTCACCATTTTTTTAATAAATATTATTTTTATCCTAGATACCTATATCAATTCTGGGTTAAAAAGTGATTTTAATTTTTTTTATCTCTTTTGTTACTCCTACGGCGGCCATTTTTGTTTTGCGGAACACTCAAATTTTTGCTCATGTAAGGGTTTGCGTTAACTTGCATAACTCGGTAACCATGAACACTAGTGTGATGAAACAAAAAGCATTTTAATCTGGAAGAAACATCCTAAGTATTAGGGTATGTTCAGTTCATATTTATTGAAATGTTTATCAAAAACAGTTTTCAACCCATCTCAACATTTCATAAGAAAACAGAAAAATTTCAACTTTTGAAGGCGTATTACCATTGGAACTTATAAAATCTCAGACTTCTTGATTTTTTTTTGTGTGTAGCAACTCAGTAGAACTGTTTGAATTTCAAATATTAACCCTGAGACTTAATTCCATTAAAAGTTATAATTTTTCAAAAACTGAATTTTTTTGAAAAATTCAAATTTTGAGTCTCAATATCTTTGTTGGGACAAAGTTTAAAAGTCTGAAATTTTTACCAAAACCCCACTGAGCCCACTTTTTATGTGGTCATTATGGTTGTTATAGGCCTACAGTAACTGCTGTATGAATTTCATCTTTGAGATTTACTTTTAAGCTAAGTTACAGTATCATGAAAATTGCAATAAATTCATAAGCTCGGCCAACGCGGCTAGTACTGTAGGTAGCTTAAAGATTAATTTATAAATGTAGGTAATTATTTTATTAATGTAAACTTATCTTAATGTAGGCCCTACATTTCAAAAATCCAAAACAGATTTTCAACTTAAACTTTGTACCCAAAGTACAAATTAGCCTATATGTAGGCCTACGGTACTAAAAATATTTTAAAATTCATAAAAAGTCGCCATTTCATCGAAAAGTATTAAAGTATTAATACCGTAAATCAAATCCTGCAGAATTTTAAGTTTTATTCATCATTCAATTTAAATAAAACGTAGTCAATTCCAATAAAAAGTGTTTATTATGGTATTTTGAAAAGAAATAACTCATATTCTGAGGGAACTGATAGAGTCTCCAGTCCCCACAGGAAGTCGTAAATGAGTCACAAAACACAGAATTTCATAACAAAATAATTCATTTTCATAACAGATGAAGAAATCACTCAACACTACAACAACAAAATCCTGGACCGATTTGAGAACTGTTTAAAGATTACTGGAACAAGAAGCTTACTTTGTTTTAGGCTTATTCCTGTACAGTAAAACAGACAGTAGTAATGTTAGGTGCTTCATAACCTCACTAGCAACTGAATATGAAGTTCATTAAACATCAAAAGCTGTAAAAATTACACTTCATACAAAAGACTCTATATTGCACGTGTGTATGAAAATCAGTGGTGTAAGCAGTTCAAAAATTATAAATACAAACAGTTCTACTGAGTTGCTACACACAGAAAAAAAATCAAGACTGAGATTTTATTTGTTCTAATGGTAATACGCCTTCAAAAGTTGAAACTTTTCCGTTTTCTTATGAAATGTTGAGATGGGTTGAAAACTGTTTTTGATAAACATTTCAATAAAATATGTAGGCTACTGAACATAATATTTAGGCTGTTTCTTCCAGATCAAAATTCTTTTTGATTCATCACTCTTGTGTTCATGGTTATACCGAGCTATGCAAGTTAATGCAAACCCTTACATGAGCAAAAATTTGAGTGTCCCAAAAACAAAAATGGCCGCCGTAGAAGTAACAAAAGAGATTAAAAAAAAATGTAAATCACTTTTGAACCCAGAATTGATAGAGGTATCTAGGATAAAGATATTATTTATTTTAAAAATGGTGAAGCAACCCCTGTTGGATCACTTTCAAAAATACTTGATTGGTGTGTAAGTTAATTCTTGTCAGAGCAGAAAATCCTTTGCACCATTTTTTTAAGGTAAAAAATCTAGTTTCTTATGATAGCCTATATAATTACAGTACTTTAGTATTATCCGGAGGCCACCCTTATACAGCACACTAGCGGTTAAGTTATGTTATAAATATAATTGTTGTAGGACATTCCTTGTTTCATTATGAATCAAACAATACCAAATGAGTCATACTTTCGCTCGCTAAATCCCGTCCAAGTAGGCCAAGGTGAAGTCGTTAACCGGAGCGGACACATTCACCTGTCATAGCCTGTATCTGGTGTGGCAGCTAGCAGCAGCGACGCCTTCAACTCGATCCTCGCCGACATCGCTGCCTTTTGGCAGGCAGAACTCAAAGGCCGCTAATTGTAATCATGTCACTTATGGACAGTAAGTCAATTAAAGTAGCCTATGTTCTTTTCATTTATGATAACCCAACCTAACATAACCGCCGCAGCGCGCTGTATAAAGATGGCCTCCAGATAATACCAAAGTACCTAAAGTACTATAGGTTCCCATAGTCACCTTAATTTGCATAATATTACCAGGTACCGTAGCCTATTTATTTATACCATACAGTATTAAATTTAAAACTATTACTTTATAGCTTAAGTTTTTAAATATCTAACCAAATAAATATCAATTAGCCTAAGTTTAACTTATAGCCTACAGTTATCATTATTCATTCGATAATGTATCGCAGGTTCACTGCGGAAAACCCAAAGTTCCAAACATTTTGTTCCACATGCCAGTGGGAAAAATGTCAAAAATCGTGCGCAGACCCTATTTAAATTGCATTATCCTATTAACTAGAATGTAGGCTAAGTTCAACTTATAAGTTGAGTTACCTATAAATAAATAAAAAGGCCTTTATGTACAAGCGAGTTTCATAATCAAAAGGATTTAAGTTTACCTACTAGATTTAGGTTTTAAATAAAAAAATTCAATTTGAATTTTTAAATAAATAGCCTAGGGGATTAAATTAGCATTTCTAATTATTTTCTAAAATTTTTAATCCCATTTAATGTTAGTTTTAAGACATGTTTGTGCTAAAAACCAGGCAAGTAATTTGAAATACCCGAAATCAAGAAAAAATTCAAAGTGGTGATCGCTTTTATTACACTCACAGTGTTCAAATTAAATTACAAATATAAAAAGTAAAACATTTTCTTCCCTATTAAGTTTTTGGTTTTTTTATATCATGCTAAGCCATATTTTGTGGGCTTATATTAAGAAATATCAAATAAACTTTGAGTAAAAAGTGAAATCTTTCAGTTCTCACATCCTCTGATGCCACAGTGCGTAAGTTAACTTCCCTAATAATTTTTTTAACAGTTTTAAAACCTTTTAGATTTTTGTTTAAGTTAGGCTACGGTATGCAAAAATATGTTATACCTTTATACCATGTATCCATAGATGACCAGTAGTGACTGGATAGATTTCGTCAAATAAGTTATTTGTTAAAATACGGTACTCATATTACTTTATGATTTGAGTACCTTATTTGATTATAATAGGTATAAGTTAAGCATAATCAATCACAATAATAGCAGGCCATAAAATAAAACATTCATCCATCAACCGTTATATTTGCTTAAAAACATATTAATAGCTTAAACAGTAAGTTACTTATCTTTAATTTAACTAACTTATTCGTAACTTACATGAATAGGACGAGTCGTCCTCTAAGTTGGTTAGGTTTCTAATATTGCGATTCTATTTTAAGTTCTAATTTTGTTTACATGATGTTCTTAGTTATAAATAAATCTTTTAAGTAGGCCTACATGACTGCTAGGCTACCGTATTTCAGTAACTAGATATAGAATTTTCTTACCTATGACATTACATATAGCTGTCCTAATCGGTAAATGTGTTTCGTTGCTGGTTTGGTTAAATGTTATTAGTATAAACACAATGCCCCCCCTCCCCCCGCGATACGGGGAGCGGTCGGCTGGCTGGCTTCAACAAAACTCGAGCGTGTCCTCTCCTTATTGTTTAATCCTCCTATGGCTAGGCCTAGTCACAATAGCACAGGCCTTTAATCTACCATAGCCTACATTTAAGTTAGGTCTAATCATACTTACCCAAATGAAGAAAATAATAAGAATTTGAAGGTTCAAGGTAGCCTAGGCCTCGGGAGATGAAGTTAAACTTCAGGTGGAGTATAAAATCGGTTAACTTGAAAGGAATAACTTCATTCACTTGCGCAGCATGTAAGCTCAAGACAAAATGAACTCATTGCTATAAATAGTTCACACAGTACACACAGATGGTCAGCTCAGTTTGTAAATTATCCCAAAACAAAATTACCCACAAAAATATTGACCTGTAATAACATAATTGTATAATGTATAGAAATATTCAATATTCTTAAGCGTACCTATGTTGATATTTTAAGCCCAACGTTTCCTAATCCCTTTCTTCAAGTTTCAAGAAGACATAAAGTTACATGCCGTGTTGTGTTGCACTTTGTATTTGCAATTACTCTACTCCTCCTCTTCTCTACTCTACTTTGATTTTGACTTGACGTTGAAACTTTGTCTCTGTATGTCTGGTGCTGGTCGGTGTTCTCTCTGCTAAGTGCTAATATAAGACAATACTCAATAATAGTCTCTTCGAAAGCTTCTCTTTCTACTCTAGTCCTAGTCTACTTAACACTCTGTAGTGAACAGAAACAGAACACGTCCACTTGCAGCCAGGTCGTGGTCGTGGTTTTAGCCTCGACTCACACATCACACATCACAAGACAATGACTTTCTTCGACAATCTGGTTTCTGTCTGGTTCAACATGAACCACCAATTATAAACTGGTCCTGGTCCAGTCCCGGTCCCCCAGACTCCCAGTCCTGGTTGGTCCAGTCCACTGAGCTATAACGATACACGTATCACCAAAGTTAACATACATCTCAATTACTAGGTGGCGTTTGCAGAGGCATCCACAAAATTGAGCGGAGTCATCAAGGGTTCATATTATATTGTTTTTGTCATACTGCAGTAAAAAAAACAGTCGTTTTTAATGCATGCATTGCGGGTCTAAAGTAGCGTGTTTACTCTTTAGGGAGTAAAAATAGTTTTTAGCCTCTATGGAGTAAAAATCATCTGTTGTCAACTCGGTTGTAAATTTCGATTGTAAACGATTGCATGTATCTAAAATATGTATCGATTCGCGCTTCGTAATCATTTCAACCTACAGTCTACAGTCTCTTCCCATAGCATTTTAGCATTGCAGATACATAATCCATTCCCACACTCAACACTGCTCACATTTACTACTTCCTTCAACCACCCCACCCCCTACGTTGTGGACCTATTTTTCTCTCTTCCCATAGCATTTTAGGATTGCAGATACATTAATGTAATTGCCAAAGACTGTCCCCATAATTTGCATTGCTAGCCTTACTACTTCCTTCACCATTTCCTACGTCATAGACCTGTTTTCTTCCCTTCTCATAGCATTTAAGTATTACAGATACGTTTATCTAACTGCCCAAGCGGTTTCCCCACTATGCACTGCCAGCCTTTACTGTTTCTTTCACCATTTCCTATGTCGTACGCATGCGTCCATCCCTTCTCATGGCATTTCATCATTGCAGTTACATTAATATAACTGCTATTAATGGTTCTCACACTATTCTCATACTTTACTACTTCCTACGTCTTGGACCTGTTTCCCTCCCTTTCCATAGCAATTTAGGATTGCAGATATCTAAATCTAATTGTCCTAAACAGATCCCACACCCGGAACAGCTCGCCTTTACTACTTCCTACGTCACGGACCTGTTTCCCTCCTTTTCCATAGCAGTTTAGGACTGCAGGAGTCTTATTCTAATCGTCATAAACAGTTCCCTCTCTTCGGACTGCTCACCTTTACTACTTCCTTCACCCCTTTCTACGTCACGGACATGTTTTCCTTCCTTCCCATAGCAATTTAGGATTTCAGATCCCTTAATCTAATCGTCATAAACAGTTCCCACATTCCGGACTGCTCGCCTTTACTACTTCCTTCACCACTTCTACGTCACGGACCTGTTCCCCCTCTCACTTCCCATAGCATCGTAAGATTGCAAATGCCTTAATCTAATGGTCATAAACAGTTCCCACACTCCGGAACAGCTCGCTTTTACTACTTCCTACGTCACAGACCTGTTTCCCTCCCTGTCCTTAGCAATTTAGGATTTGCAGATATCTATAAATCTAATTGTCCTAAACAGATCCCACACCCGGAACAGCTCGCTTTTACTACTTCCTACGTCACGGACCTGTTTCCCTCCCTTTCCATAGCATTTTAGGATTGCAGATATCTTAATCTAATCGTCATAAACAGTTTCCACACTCCGGACAGCTCGCCTTGACTACTTTCTTCACCACTTTCTACGTCACGGACATGTTTTCCTTTCTTCCCATAGCATTTTAGGATTGCAGATCCCTTAATCTAATCGTCATAAACAGCTTCCACACTCCATACTGCTCACCTTTACTACTTCCTTCACCACTTCCTACGTCACGGACCTCAACCCAGACAGCACACTTTATCCCAGGGACATCCCATAGTAGTCCCATATGTCCTGAGAATGTCTCGGGATATGTGCGCTATCCTCAGGATATCCCGCAAAATCCCGGGACGAGTACGAAATCCACAGGATATCCTACAATATACCGTAATGTCCCGGGATTTGTAAGTTAACCTCAGGATATCCTGTAAAGTCCCGGGATATGTACGAATGCCATAGGATATCCCAGAATGTCCCATGACATCCCGGGACATGTACAAAATCCACTGGATATCCTGTAATGTCCCGGTAACAAACTGAAGAAAAAAATACTACCACTGATGAAATGTACAGTATATCTAAATTTAAATGTTCAACAAGGCCAATATATAATAATTTGTTTTTTTCACTAGTGCTTTCAGAAACTTGGTTTCCATCTTCAGGCTGTGTTTACACTAGTACAAAAAGGAAATATTTACTCAATAAATTAATTTTAAACAAAGTTAAAACAGATGATTTAAAGGATATTGGAAAAATAAAAAATAATATTAGAAAAATTAATCTTTTGAATTTTGGATATGTTACAGTGTTGTTCTTGATATAATTATTTTCAGTAATTCCGAATTTATAATTGGGCCGTCTTCATTATTTCACAAATAATTTTGGTCTGTTTTTTTTTTTTTTTTTTTTTTTTTTTTTAAATAAGATTCCCACGCATTAAGATGTTGAGGTTTTATAATTTATTTTAAAAGTTTAAGGTTTCCCAGATTGAAAATATGTCTTGTTAATACTATGACTAGCAAGGGTTGACTTTACTTTACTGACATATTACTACCACTGAGTTCAGGAAAACTAGAGTTCTATCATAGTTGTGTGGAATGTGAATTTAATTCTAACTTTAAATTAATAAAACAACAAAAAACTAATTTTAATCATATAACAATCAATTATTACAGTGCTAATCTAATGGTGATTAAATAATCTATATTCAAATACCAGTATCCTCTCCAACTACCAGAAAAACAATTAAACTACTTGAGGCCTAAACAGATTAACAGAATCATATATAGCCTATACTGTAGTATCAAAAATATTTTAAGTATTGCGACCATTGCAACTGTCGGCTACACTTTAACCACTTGAAAACACCAACAATCAACCAGCGCAGATAGCTCAGGAGGTAAGGTAAGAGGCTCACAAGGCGAAGGTACCAGGTTCGAAACCCGTCTGGGCCAAAAACTTTTTTCTCGTTTTTTTCTTCAAAATTTGTGTTTATTAACTATTTAATCAATTTACTAAACTTATAATTAAGCTTTTCATACTAAATCTATATTATTTTGTGTTTTTTATGTTCAGGCCCAGACCACACTTTATCCCAGGGACATCCCATAGTAGTCCCATATGTCCTGAGAATGTCCTGAGGACTACCCTGGGATGACCTCGGATGTCCCACGGATATGCGTGTGAGCTTATCCGTAGGACATCCCCGGGCGGGGACATTAGGCATTCCTGTGGATATCCTGTGATATCCCAAGTTGACCATAGGACCACTATGGGATATCTTGCATATCCTGTCGCAATATCCGTGGGATGTCCTGAGGAGAAAGTGTGCTGTCTGGGAAGCTATTGCCGTCATTTGATTTATGATCCATACCGATTCTGTTCTTAATCTGTGGAATAATGCTATCAGCTATTTCTTTATCTACTGCATTTAAAAGTCAACACCTGATCATATATCTTTGTTTATGTGTCAAATACTGCTTCCATAAGGATTACATTGAAACTTTGAGACCCAGTGGGGCGGATTCCTGAGAGACTTTTTTAACGCCATATAGATGTTGGCACTCACTGATATGGTCTTTATCACCATGCAAAATTTGAAAACGATTGATTCAGCCGTCTAGGGGGAGTTTGCATATTACGAAATGCATAAGAGTCGACGTATAAGAGCTCCCTTTCCATAGCAATTTAGGATTGTAGATATCTAAATCTAATTGTCCTAAACAGATCCCACACCCGGAACAGCTCGCCTTTACTACTTCCTACGTCACGGACCTGTTTCCCTCCTTTTCCATCGCAGTTTAGGACTGCAGGAGTCTTTTTCAGGACACACAATTTCAATTTTGAAAAGATTGTGTCCGCCATTTTGAAGTTTGTTTTTGAGGTGTTCCCATTGTCGGATTTGGTCTGATTTTGGATATGTTATAGAGCTATAATTTCCAAACAAAAAGCCATTGTGAAAGTTTCTGTTGAAATTTTTTGGCGTCGGTCAAGTTTCCCAAACATTCCAGTTGAAATGCTGTTTGAAGCTCGTTAGCCTTGTTAGGTTAGATAGTGGATACTTTTCCATTTAAAGCCCAGCTGATAATGTCGCTGGATAACCTTTAGCCACATAAAACATACTGATACTAGTATACATTCCGGTGGGACACACGGAAAATTTCTCAGGTGCCGTTTGACGGCACTATGCTGCGTCTGAAGAAACAGACAATTTTATAATTTTTCTATTATTAAATTAAACTGCCATAACCTAACCAAACGAGCTGATAATGAACAAATCGAATGAAGGTTTACTAATCTGAGAAATAGTTTTGTTCATAAAATAAAATTATAAATACCTATAATTAAATTTTATAATTTTTTAATTATAAAATTAAACTGTCATAACCTAACCAAACTTGCTGATATGAAAAATTTTTTTGACAAAAAGCTAGTGCTACCCTGCTACCAGCGGGATTTGAACCCGGTACATCGGATTATCAGCCCGACACGCTATCCACTACACCATTGAGGCCGATGGCTCAAAACCATATCGTTGCGGTAATGGTGTTCACTCAAAGTGACGACAGCAGTTAGTGACGTCAAATGGCACCTGATAAATCTTCCGTGTACCGTTTTGGTATACATTCTGTGCTTTAGCTGAGCATTTCCTCCCTCACATGTTGAGATGCTTCCCGTCACGAGCAAGTTGACTCCTTCTAACCCACATCCACCTTTAACTACAGGCATAGATAAAACATACTCCTTCCTATGTTTTATCATAGATAAAACATACTCCCGTTTTATCTATGCTACAGGCCATGGCCTGGT